TTCGTTAGACATGTAATGTGTCAAATATAATATGTGTCAAATATATTGGAAAACCGAAAGTTCTCCAATAGTTTATTGGGTTTTCATTTTACATTAGAATTGAGCAAAGCGTATAAGCATAAGTTATATATTAACTTTCCTGATGCTTATTAATTGAGCAAAGCGTATAAGCATAAGTTATATATTAACTTTCCTGATGCTTATTAATTGAGCAAAGCGTATAAGCATAAGTTATATATTAACTTTCCTGATGCTTATTAATTGAGCAAAGCGTATAAGCATAAGTTATATATTAACTTTCCTGATGCTTATCACTATATCCAGTAAATAACTCCTGTTTCAAAAATATCTTATGTATTATGTAATATCTTCTCATTTTTTTTTCATTTTATTAAACACAACAGTTGGTATAAAAATGTGATTTCCTATTTGATAGGGTAAAACACGCAAGTATTGACATCCTCTTAAGTACTTTACAAAGAAAAAACATGGTTTCTCTTGCAACCAGCTTTGCAGTTAAACTTTCTGTGTAATTGTGAAGGTCTCTTTTGGAATTATAAAGTACACTCAGATAGACTCTCACGATTATCGCGACGTGAGACGCAATCGATGAAACTCTATGACATTTTTCCCTAGTAAACTATACATGAAAGATTCTGTTGGAATACAACCAAATTAAGAGAAATACTGTTTCATTATATCGCACTAACATTCAGCGCACGGCTCATAGTAACCTTATATTTCTTTTAATTTGGTTGTATTCCAACAGAGCACTTGACATATAGTTTAGTTCTTGTAGAGAAGCGTTTAATATACTTTAATCCAATATAAATATATATGAGCATTTCGATTACGAGGAAACTGTTGAACCTTTGGTCGTCGACCAAAGGTTAGTACTGCAGTGTCAGCAAATAAAAAATAGAAAAATCCAGATTTTATTTCTGTCTGAGGTAATATTTCCCGTAACATTAATAGGAATCAAAGTAAATGTACAATTGGGATTTTAGAAAAAAATGAGAGTAATTAATTAAGATACAACAATTTGAATTTAGGCTCGAATTTGACGTGAAAGATTTGATTCATCGCGAACGTTGTAAAGATTATTATAAAAATATTCAGCGTGTACGTTTGCAAAACAATCGCCTAAACAACCGTTGCTGGTTACAGAACAAAGCAGATTTTTTTTCTTTAATGACTAAGGAAGATGAATAATTAGGTGTTTCACTCTATCATAAAAGTATACTGATTGAAGAAACAAAGCGCGAATTGCTGCAGTATTCTTATTCCAATTCCGGACAGGGAATCCAAGTTTGAGATAAGAATGGAGTTCCCAATTTGTAATAGAAAAACTGGTTTTGGGACAAATTTGGGCACTCTAATCGGAGTCTGTGTTGTATCTGGAGAAATTTTGAGACATTTTTTGATAATTAAATAATCAAGCGCGTACAGAAGATGATATTGGTCGTCCAGCTGCGTCTTAATCCAAATTCGAGAACTGTGCCTCGTTGATCTCTTGTCCGAGAGTGAATCGTTCGAACGAATAAAACGAGAAAGAGATCCATACGATTTATCTCACCGGCATCTGTAGCGTTCGATGATGCATTCCTCTTTTCTGGCGCTGGACGACATTAAAAATAACTGTCCAAAGGCATTCGCGCGTTAAACCACCCACCCACATCGTCTCGTCTCACGTTACGATCAAGTATTTCTTTTAACGCAGCGAGAAATCGCCTAGCCGATACTGAGGCGTCGTTACGCGAAGCGTTTTTCTTTTTCTTCAGATTTCACAGGAATGTGTATCGTATCAACGAAAATAGCTGTCCGCGCGTAACCGAAACAACTGCTGCGACCAAGCAAATCGTATTTATTACACGAAAAATAGTACGAATTTCTTCGTCGTCTAAAATTAAGTTCCACGGACTTTGACTAGCTCGCGTATTGCGAACGCAATTTTCATTTTCGTCGTTTTTTCTTTCATTTTTTAATCAACGCGAAATGTCATTTCTTACGCACTTTATGTCATACATTCTTCTCAGAAACGGTGAAAGTTCCGTTTGTTTCGACACTTTTTGATCCTTCGGAGATACGTAAGCTAAAAGTATCAATGTCTGAGCACGTATCTAATTCTAGACACTGTGGTTAACCAATCCTTCTAATCACACAATTCATTCTTTACACATTTTCCTACAATATAAAAAACAACAGAGATATCTTAAAACTTAATATTAGGTAATTCGCTCTATATACAAATTATAAAATTAATGTATAAATAAAAAAACAATAAAGATAACAATAAAGATGTCTAAAGTTAGATGTCTAGGTATTATTATATTTGCCAAAAATAATAATGTTTCTTAACAGTGCCAGTATTTCACGGAAAAAAGTTTGATTGAATTAATCAAATTTCTGGTGAAATGAATCCGAAATTCTGGTAACTTCAATCAGAATTTCAACCAAACATTTTTTCCGTGCTGAGCTTAAATATAACTCTGGACATTTTTATTATCTGACCTTCAATATCTACGAATACAAACTTTTCACGTAAAATATATACACAATGTTGAATATGTACACATATTTTATGTTGAAAATTTAAATGCTCGTATTTGAAGAGTGAAACTTTAAGAGTGCCCAAAGTAAGGTGCGCGTCCAGGTATTGGCACGCTCACTTTAATCCGAGTGAATTGTGAAGAAAGTTGAACGCGGTGAACGCTCACATTACGCGCTTTGGAATTTTTCCAATAGGACTTACACACCTCGGTCTGCTGCAAGCTTAAACAATTCGTCGTGCGCCAAGCAAGCGAACGAGTGCTGCTTTATACGGAGGAAGGTTCAAAGGGAAGTTCTACCCCGAAGGAGAGCGAGAATTACTGTCTGAGCCGTAAAGCTTAAAAAATATCCCGATCGAGACGCGCGGCGGATAACGAGGTCGGACCTCGGGGGCACCTTCCGCGCCCGGGGAGAGACATCGATGGTTATTATGGACAACACCATGGGGACCCGTAATATGGCCGTTGCGTTGCTGTAGGTCCGCGAGAGCCTTCCCCCAGCTCCTTCATCTCCTCCACCTTCTCATCCACGCGTCGTGTCTTAACGGTTGTAAAAAAAAGGATGATTCTCGCGGCGAAGGACATGTAAATTTATGAAGGCCCCGGGGCCTTACGTTTGGCCGCCTTTGCGCGCGTACTACGTCCCTGCGGCTGGCCGCATTGTTATGCTAACAATTAATTAATGTCGCTTTAATTGCGCCGCCGGCACGTCACGTCACGCTCTCTTCCTCCCTCGCGCTCGCGCCTCCCCTCCTCCCCTGCGTCACTCTTCCTGCCCTGTCCAGTGCGGCGACGATCTTCCGTCTTCCCGGCGACGTTCGTGCGACGGAAATTATGCTGATTAAGACGAGATCCGTTTGTTTCTCCCGCCGTCCATTGTCGCGTACGCGCGGGCGTTTGAGGAGCTACGAAAAGGACTCGAGGCATTTATCTCCGGCCCGCCGCACACGTAGGAGAGCGCGATTAGAAACGGGCCCCTCGGCGCGTATTGTCTCGCGATGCGCATTGTGGCTCTCGCCGTCTCTACATTGTTGTGGCTTGATTAATTGTTGTCTCGTAATTAGGCGTTTTGGAGTGTCGATGCGGGTTCTAATTAAGGCTCGCATTCGGCTGCCGCCTTTCCTCGATGTTTCGTTCATTGAATACAATGAACAATGTTGACGCGCGTTGCATGCCGAGCTGATTTCACTTAGATTTTTCTTATGGTCGTGAGACTTTTATTCTTTAATCCTAATAATTTTTTATTATGATGGATATCATGCTAAATTAAATTAGACAAAATAGTACTTGAACAAAATGCATTTTGTCGTTTAGTTCATCACTTGTGATGTTAAAATCGCCAAAATTACTGTGTCAATCACATATAAATAAAATTATTACGAGTTTCTCCATAAGTAATCAAGTATTTCTAATACACTTGAAAATTTAACCCGAGACGAAACTGTGTTAAACTTTGAATTCTACAACGCAGTAGGACCTAAGTTGGCAAAGTAAGTTTAATTCTATGATGACACACTATGGTTTATTTTGATTCTGATGATATCCAAAATTTCTCTTTTTACTATCTTTAACAAAATAGATTATATTATAGGCTTCAGAATATCAAAATGGATGTTGAATGGCATAATGAAGCTGAAAATAGGATCAAAATTTCGACTCGGGAAAGCTTTTATGCTTTTTTGTTTTACTTTTATTTTCAATCGGTGATATTTTTCATTTTTAATTAATAATATAACGAGTAAAATATATTGAATAACACATTAGAGGCTGTCTTTACAAAAGTGCTTTAAGCTTAAATTTAATTTTCAACTCTGCTCAAACACATTGTTAGAGCAGAGTTTGAACTTAAGTCTAAGTTTAAATTACACGGAAAAAACGATATGGTTGGCTCACACGTAAACCTGTTTGTGCCAACCATATTAAATCTGGTTGGCACTACCAGATTTATGTGTGAGCCAACCGTACTGTTTTTTTCCATGTAGTATTGCATGGGTATTAATAGGTTAAAGTTTCCTCTTTGACTAAAACAATCGAACTAAATCAATAATCAAAATTAATCAGCCATCATGTGTGCAATCACGAATAATTTTATTAATTGATGAAATTAATTATTAATCAGTGTATAATCAATGTCAAAGTGTAAGTAACATTAAAGTATGATTGATAATTCCATCGATCGATGAAATTATTTGTGACTTTATATATGACGATTGATTAATTTTGATTATCGATTTGTCGGTTATTTTAGTCAAGGAAAATTTGATGAAGAATGAATTTTATGATGAGAATGTATTTGTGGGTATACGCTTGATATTAGTGTCATTCATTTGCGTACGCCGTGGAATTCGATGTATCGAACAACAACAAGAAAACCGCGACACATCTCTTCGCGTGCGATTCGCGATATCTGTGATACGCACTTCCTAATCATCGATCTGATCTCTGTTGCAGGACGTGAGGAGGCCCGAGGGATCGTAGATGATTTCTACTGTCTGCGTCCTCGGTAAGTCGAGCACGAGCGATTAATGCAGCGATCGCGCCAACAGCGTGCGTAAAATGTGTCACGCGCAAGAAACGCCAGGGGGTCGTCTCGTTCGCGGACCCTCGTTCTCGCCCGCAAACGTGGCTAATTATACACGCACGGCAGCGCGAATGCCGTAACTCCGGATACCGGATGCGTCACCGAAATGTTTAACAACTCTGTCCCGCGCCCGCGCGCGAACATTAACGACCGCGGCCGTCGGATTCCGCGCTATGAACGTTTTATCGGCTTCACGTCTTGCTCGTTCTTTCTCCCTCTTTCTTCCCCCCTCTCTTCTATCTCTCTCTTTGTCTCTCTTTCTCTCTCTGTCTGTCTGTCTCTCCACCCTCGCAGCACGCAGGCTGGCTATCTTTGGTCGCGTGCGCCATTGAGCTGAACGGATCTCGTCCTCTCGACAGAGAACATGTCCGATTCTCTCGGTCGGCCTCGAAACACAACCGTGACTGCGAAAATTTTACTTATTATATTATTAGGAGCGACTTGCCATAGTAATTTCCTAAGATTTCCACTTAGATTCTTATTAAAATGCTCAAATTTATCTCAACATTAGTTATCCCAATATGAATTACCAATCCGTAATTCATTTTTCTCTTACTCCAAACGTGACTTTTCTATTTGAAATCAAAATAAAAATGGTATGGAAACTTACACTTTTTTCAGTCGGTATATTTTTATAGTATCTAACAGGGAATCGCATTTTATAGCATTGTATTCAATAGAGTAAAACATCACACACACACACAAATACGTTCAATATTACTTGCAAAACTAATACGTTTTGTTCAATTCTAATGCGAGATGGAAACCAGAAGAGATATTAGAAAAATATTGAGTTCCCCACTTAGTCTCGTATGAATAGTCGTTACTTGAAATTTATTCCACGTGAGATACTCAGATTTTTATTCAATTAGATCTAAGTTTTCTAATTAAATTATTGATATATGAATTATGATACATATATCTACAACTGTGATTCAACTGAAAAAATTCTCATCTAACTCTAAAGTTAAATCTGATTATTTTATTTCAGACGAGTTTCAGGTAACGACTATTTATACGAAACTTAGACTCAGATTTGAACTTTTCAGTAGAATCACAATAATATATGTGACGTTACGTATATTGTATAATTCGATTAAAAAACTTCGATCTATCTAAATTCAGGTCTGATTTCGTGTGAGACAATTTTCGTACGACTATTAACGATGGTCTTAGAATTGCATGTTTGAAACATTAACAGGTTCTAAATAGAACCCAGAATTATTTTAGCGAATCACACTGGATCCCAATTAGATCCTAAGAAATTTTCTACACAGAGATAAATTAACGAAACTCAAGGTATGTGTGTATGTATGTATGTATGTGCATGAGCCGTCTCGCGTTGATGATTCCGTTATGAGTACCGATATCGGCTTGATATTTCTTCGGATGATACTTTACTCCTGGATCTATGAGTTTGATGTTTTACGACGTTCATATTACCGTGAGAGTAACCACGAAATAATTACCGTCGTCAATGCTACAACCTATCACACATATGAAAGAGAGAGAGAGAGAGAGAGAGAGAGAGAGAAGGGGGGAGAGAAGAGAGAGACGTTCTTATGAACATCTCCTCTCTCTTCTCACAGAGCATAAAAACGGAACAGATTGAGCATCTCAAGCGTGACTTCGTAGATCGCGGATGCCGCGAAAACGTGAGAGTTCCGTTTAACTGTGCGGATATTATGACGGAGTCGCCAAGAACTATGTGTATCTATAATCCGCTCGATGAATTTCAATTTATAACTCCGGTTCCCGCGAGCGATAACATTGGCGAGACCATAAAATTCCCAGCGCGCGCTCACGATTACGGCCCGGAGGAGTCGTTCACGCTCGTCTTTTTCTTGTCGCTATTCTAGCGAGCACACGCGCTCACTCCCCGCATCTGCATTCGCGGCCACTAAACCGCCCGAGTATCCTCGTGTCCGCCACTTGTGCGGAGGAAACGGCCGGATCACGAAATAATTAGCGATCAGACGATTCAACGTGTTTCTTTTGCGGTACGCGCTCCTCGCGCGCGTTTGTGTTTACACAAAAAGAAAATTAATATCCATTTAGAACCAACATATCCAAATTAACAATCATTGTTTCATGTATGAGCAATGATATATCATTTTGTTATAAAAAAATTTTGAAGTCTTGAATTTCAACAATGTTACAATTTTACTTGAAGACTATAACAGTCTCATAAGAAGTACTATATGATTATTTTGATAATAATGATATCCCCCTCCGATATTTAAAAACATCATTTCTCAATCCAATATTTTGTACTTTCGATTCATGGAAATTATTTCTGAATAATAAAAATATAGCTTTCTTTGTTGCATCACACAAAATGTATTGATGCAAGTAACATATCTTTATTTAACATCATATAATTCCATTGTAAGATTTACTTGTCAAAAATAAAGATATTTTTTAAACAAGCATGTTCTTCTTCTCTGTGTACATAGAAAAAATGTACTAGAATCAAGTAAACATAAAACTTGTTTGTCTCTTTCTTTTAAATCAAGCAATGTTTTTATAAATTTAAGTGTATATTGATGGTTTGTGGCAAATGTTTACTTCAACGCAGTAACATATTAATTTGTAAGTGAATTTCCTGCGTGTAAGTACATCGTTCTAAATTTAAGAGAAGTATTTATTGAAATTATGTAATAATTCTTTTCCTTTGAAGAGAGAAACTGTGTTTTAAGTTTTGATTTATCTGTTCAGTAAATATTTTCTAAAATTAAAATTTGGATATTTTCAACGTGTGAGCTATATAAGACACGGAACTTCCGCGGTCGTCCCTATGTGGTGTCCATTCTCCCAATTAAATTTACTCCCCAACGGAGATGTTACTAAATACATATAAGTGTCTGAAAATAAATTTGACACCAATACCAATTAAATTCTTTTATTTTTTTAAGCTTAAGATTACCAAGAATGTCCTGACAACTCTCATGTTTCAGATGAAAGTATCCAAAACATTCTCGAGATATTTATTTCTCTATTTTAGAATGATATTTTAAATAAAACAAATATTCTATTAGTGAATAAATTTCAACTCGACAGTAAAATTTCAACGAAAACATAGTAAATATGACCATAAACATAATAATTTTTATTATATTATATTTATTTATTATGTTCATGGTCACTTTTAATATGTCTTATTATAATTTTCATCATAGTGTCAATCTACTTCGGAAGTATTAAAATTGTAATGCAACTTTTACTATAATTCTTTCTCTCTCTGTCTCTCTCTCTCTCTCTCTCTCTCTTTATGTCAGAAATTTGGTTAATTCAACCAAACGTTTTTCCGATATGTTTTTGTACGATATTAAAAAACGACTGCCGCACTAATATCGATCGATCGATCGACTCACACTCACGGTGCAATAGTGACGGTGTGATATCAGCGCAGTTAAACGCGAGTTGCAAACGACCGACAAATTAATTAACGGCCGATCGTAACTCGCGCGCGCGTCGATGGCGAGGTTAAACGACGCGATCGACGCGTTGCGCAACTCGCCTTCTCCGCTGTTGATTAATGAATCGCGTGCTGATTAATGAATGCAAATAGCCCGCCCTCTTCATACCGCCTCCGCCGTCGCGGCGGACGCGCTTTCGCGAGCGTATACGGACGCAAAATGTCAGACCGACCACGGTTTTTCGTGCGACACAACGCCGGATCGATCAGCCGTTAGAGGCACGAGAGGGTCAGCCGCGAGCCCCCCTTCGGACGGGCCTTTTCGTCGGTGGTTTGCGCGTCGCGTCTTGCAGCACGATGGCCTGCAAGGGTGAAGAACCGCGGCCGAGGGACGCAAAGGGTGAAGGGGTCCAAGAGGAGGGACAGCGGTAAGCGAAAGGGAGGACGAAACGCGGAGGACAGGCCGGAGACCGTGCCGGACTACCTCCTCTTCCTCATAAATACGGATTTAGTCGCGCGGTTTACGACCGAAAACGTGTCGAGCCTCGCGAGCGCGGAGCCGCGCCTAAATTATTAAAGTCGTAAACGATCGAAATCGTCGTTAAGCGCCGCGCGAAGAAACCCATCGGGGCCCGCCCTCCTCCGCGTGCCCCTCCACGGCGCAGGATCGTTTTTCTCGAGGTTTCATTGTTAGGCCGCGTTAGGAGGGTCTCAATAGCGGTGCCGGGTATCTTGGCCACGTTCCGTCGTAGGCGACGGCGAACAGGCTGAGCGGCGCGATTTCTGCGATGGATTTCTGCGAAGCGTCCGTAAATTAGACTCGGAGACGCGGTAAGGAGACACTTACGACGGATAATCACGCGGTGACTGCGCGTGCCAGACGTACTGCTGAGATAGGGAGAGAGAGATGATCGGTTTTTAGCTGCTTTTATTTCGACACCGGACAAAAATCATCTCTTCCTGTCTGCCCACTGTAAACGTCCTCCGTACACTTGGTGTGTAACGAGAACTCCGCGTTATTCGTGATCGAACGTTTTTGAAATAGCTTAGAAAATTTTTGTAAAGTCTTGTGGAAGAGATTCTTTTCTTAACGTAATAAATATGATTAATGTAGTAGAAAAAATGCCTAAAGATGCTTTAAAGAATGCTATCAAGCAAATTTTGCTACAAAGAAAGTTTCTTTATGACGTTTTATCGAAAAAATTTTTATGACGGGGTGTGAATAAAGTGTGTATAAAGATGCTTATGAAATTGCTATAATGTGTTAGAAGAAAAAAATATTTTTAATAGGGCCGTATTTAACACATTAAGCAATAAAGAATACTTATAAAAAGAATAAAAATAAAGAATTTATAATATGTTTATAATTGAAAAAAAAATAATGAAAAATAATATGTTTATAAATGAAAAAAAATAAAATGTGATATAGGAGGTGTTTCTTTTAAAGTATGATTGACGTATTAAGAGACGAAGCTCTTATAAGAATATTTATAAAGCTTTGTAA